GAGTACTTCATGTTGGTAGATTTTATAAAGAGTCATGTGCTTCCATTTCCATCAAACTAATGCATTTAAAGTTGGTGGAGTCCATTATGATTATCTTTAATTTATTTTTGCTTATAAATTAAATTATAAATTAGATTAAATTTTAATTTAATTTAATTTAAGCTATTTGACTATAATTGTTTCCATTATCATTCATACATTATTGAAAAATATTAAAAAAAAAATCAAATTGGCCCAAAATTTAAAAAAAAAAGCCCTAATAACAATGGCAAAAGGAAAAGGACCAAAAGTTTTGAATAATACTAAATAGTTAGGGGCCTATTAGAAGAAAATTAGGTAAAATTGCAATAATATGGATTAATCGATTAATTTCGAAATAAACACAGTTAATACTTGATCTTGAGTCGATTCGATGAAATTTTTTAAATAATATTAAAAATTTAAATCAATTACAAAATTACTTTAATTAAATAAATCGAACAGAACATTAATTTGTCATCTTATATAAGTCAAAAATAACTAAAATGTTTCAATTTAAAATCGTATCGATTGATGGGACAAATTCGTAAAAACGAAAAGCTAATTTATTTATGGCAATTAATTGGTGGTTGTACCTACTTTTTTTTTCCTATTAATTAGAGTAAATGTTTCTTTGAAGAACATGTGGAGACACATACCAAGAGTTCAGGATTGAAGAAGAAATGGGCCGACCAATAAATTTGCATCGAATTTAATTCTGTGTAGTTGGATGACGTACAAGTATCACATAAGTATTTGGTTGGTTGTGTCCTTCATGACTATTTCTTTAAAAATCATTCTTTAATATTCATACCATATTTATAATTATGGTAGGATGTATACATAAGTAAAGTGTAATAAAAAAAAATTAGATAGCAATCAGGAATGTTGCGTATAATTTGATTTATTGATTAAGAATTAGGATTGGGATGTTTCACTATAGTGGAATTAATTCCAATGTACAATGTTATAAAATTATTAAAAATTATTAAAAAAGAGTATTCAAGCGTCGCTTTCGTGTCTCGATACTTGTTCCTTAATTAATTTAAGACGCAACGAAAGAAAAGATAGATCGAAAGAAAGAGATGGAAGAAGTCATGGAATCCAAAGACTAGATTAAGTGTATCTACAATGGTATATATGTTTCCCAACTCCATTCCTATATAGAGGGAAAAGAAAGGAGGGGAGGGGTGAAGATTGAAGAATTAGGGAAGGAAAAATGGAGGGTGAGCTCAAAAATTTCATCAGTGTAATCATTATGGCATTAATATCCATGTACTACTGTTACTACATTGCAGCAATGATGCCAAAGGGCTTGCCAAGGCTCATCTCCCTCCTCCCTGTCATAACTTTGTTCTCTGTCCTCCCCTTCAACGTTCACAGCTTCCATATAGGGGCTCCCGTAGTGTTTATCCTTGGTTGGATTACCAATTTCAAGCTTCTGTTGCTAGCCTTCGATCAAGGCCCCTTGTCACCACCTCCTCCTGGAGCTCATCTTTTCATCCTGACAGCTTGTTCCCCTTTCAGGATCAAGCAATCCCAACCTAAAGCCAAGAGGACTACTGGTCCGAATGTTGTATCAGAGGCTGCAAACAAGGCTGCACTTCTAGCATTGTTGTTTCATTGTTATAACTACAGACAATGCTTTCCCGGACAGGTCTTGTTGATCCTTTACTTCTTCCATACTTACCTGACGATACAGTTTTTCCTGGCTGTGGCTGCAATCCCAGCTCTAATCCTCCTTGGTGTCGAGCTCGAGCCACAGTTCAACGGACCCCTCCTGGCCACTTCGTTGCAGGACTTCTGGGGTCGTAGGTGGAACCTGAGGGTCTCTGACACTCTACGTCCAACCGTATACAACCCTATCCGCAGTGTTTCTACTCGTATAATCGGACCTCGATGGGCCTCGTTACCTGCTGTCTTTGCAACGTTTCTCACTTCGGGTTTGATGCATGAGCTCATTTACTATCACATAACTCGTGAGTTTCCCACCTGGGAGGTGACTTGGTTCTTCGTCCTGCAAGGGTTCTTCGTTGACGTAGAGATTGTGTTGAAGAAGAAGTTCCTGTTTCGACTTCACAGATCGGTGTCAGGACCACTAGCGTTGGCAAATCTGGCAGTGACTGCTGGCTGGTTATCTTACAGACAACTCCTGAGAAATAAGGTAGATGAAAAGGTCATCAATGAATTCAATGCGTTCCTGGAGTTTCTGAGAAGGCTCAGCATGATTTAGGACAATCTGAAACTGTCATTTGGGTTAGGATATTACACGTTTGCTTCCATTATTAGCTTAGTTACGTTCTTCCCTTTTTAGAAAATTAACATTAACAAGTCTTGTTAGTCATTTTTTTATCGTAAAAACTCTCTGCAGAGTCAAAAGCTCGTTAACTCATTAAAACCTTTAAAGAATTTAATGAGTTGAATGACCTTAACGAGCTGTATCCTTCTCGTATTAAAGTCATAAAGAGTTCTGTGAAGGTGAAACCTCATTAACGCCATTAAAAGTTTATCTGCTTTAAAGAATTTAATGATCAGTTTAATCTCTTTAACGAGTTTTATATAAGGGAAAAGATGAGATGATCAAGAAGATCAGTCACTGTTAAATTTTTGAGTTTTGACTTAATAAAACAAGAAAAATCAAGTTAATTAATTTGAAAGCAATATGTAATACCCTAAATTAAATGGCATTTTGGACTAGTGTATTTATAAAAACCCTAAACACATAGACATGCAAGTTTTGCAAGGAAAGAGAACTCTAGCCAGGCACCCTTCTGATAGCTGAGTAAGTCAGATCCTTCTGCTCTTAGAAATGCTCAGATTGTGACATTGTTCTTGCAAAGAATTAATGGCGGGCCTAGCAATCAATTCATGCCGACTTCCATTAATGTGATCTCCACCTTGAAGCTGAAATGCCTCCTCAAAACTTGCCAATTTTTGTCTTTATTGAAATATAATTAGTGATAAATGACGGTTTTTTTTCTTATCGTAATTTTTTCTCAATAAATATTTTACTGTATTCGTATACGTGTTAATGATAAATTTTTGTTATTTTTTCAATTTGATACCTTCGATTTAATGAATTTTTCAATACTAATAGCTATATTCTTGCTTTAAATTGGAAACGATCCTAATATTCACCTCTTTCTAAGAAGAATAAAAGAAAAGAAATAACCCTAGCCTTGATTGCAAATTTTCAATATTTCTTCTCTAGATCATGGACCTCATAGCTAACAACCTAACTTGGGCCGAAACAAAATTGTTCACAATTGGGCTGCCCAAGTTGAATATCAGCAGCCAACCAGCCCAACCAAGGCCCAAGGCAAAATATCTAGTGTATTCTATTTTTTTTACTTTTTTTATCATAATATAGTATTATTTTTTATCAAATAAAAAACGAATTTTATTTTAATTGTATTTATGATCTTGGGTATAATTTATTTTATTAAGAGAAATAATGCAAAACATATTTACTATTATATTCAAAGGAAAGTGACCTTAATTAATTCTCAAAATCCTCTAATTTTCTTTTTGTAAAAGAATTTCATAGAATTAGCTTATACTAAATGAAGTTTGAAAGACTAAAACAGATGAATTAGAAAAGGGGATAGTATATATGGGTCAAAAAAGATGGCTGAAATGGTCAAGTTGGAGCATGCATATTTTGAAAAATTGTGAGTCATAATTGCTTTTAAATATGTATTTAATTTCTCATAAAAATAATTATGTATTTGATTTACTTTTTTGAATTCATTGAGACGTGGAAAATGCTCGTTTTATGAAAAATATTAGACACGTAACGTAACAATATGAAAAAAATATCGACCAAAGAGTAGCTATGAAGACTTTAAATGCCAAATTGAGAGATTTAATATACTATAGGATCGTGATTAATTTAATATTCTTTTTAATCTTTTCGAGAAAACGTGTCCAAAAAGTTTGCATCAATTCTCTAATATAAAATTTCACACTTTGATCATTTCTAAGATGGACCCTTTGTCAAATCAATACGAACCAATGCCATAGAAGAGTAAAATACTTAGAAAATGAAAAGGTTGTGCTTACAAGTTGTACATGGAACAAAGGAATAAGATCCATTTTCCACAAACAAAAACAAAGCAATGAGAGGTAGATGAGCAAAGGGGACTCACAAGAACCCAAAGCTTGGAAATGGAAGGAGAAATCAAAAACTCGGTCAAGGTATGCCTCTCAATTCTACCATCTCTATGCTATTGCTATTTTGTAGCCTCAAAGCTCCCCAAGGGCAAGCTTAGGCTCCTTGCTCTCCTCCCAATTCTCTTCCTCTTCGCCATCCTCCCTCTCTTCCTCTCTCATGTCTTCCCTATAGGCTTAACAGCCTTGTTCTTGTCTTGGTTGGGCAACTTCAAGCTCCTCCTCTTTGCCTTTGGGAAAGGACCACTTTCATCTCATCATCACCCATCATGTTCCCTAATCCATTTCATCCTCGTAGCTTGTCTCCCTATAAGAATCAAGGAAAATGGAGAATACCCATCATCCAAAAGCACCCAATCACCTCAACAAACATGTCCAAAACATCCTAGATTGCCTCTAAATTGGCCAACTAAAGCCTCGGTTTTTGCCATGTTGGTCAGTGCACATGATTATGGACACTTCGTGCACCCAAGGATTGTTTTGCTTCTATATTGTTGCATGGTGTACTTGTTGATAGATATAATTTTCGGTGTATCCAACGGTCTAGTGCATGCCACGTCTGGGCTAGAACTCGAGGCGCCGTCCGATGAGCCTTACCTTTCAACATCGTTGCAAGACTTTTGGGGTAGGAGATGGAACCTCATGGTAACAAATCTGCTTCGCCACACCGTATACAAACCCGTGAGGTCATTTTTGGACAACAAGCTAGGTCCCAAGTGGGCTCCACTTCCGGCTGTGCTGGCGGCTTTCCTGGTTTCTGGCCTGATGCATGAGCTCCTGTTCTACTACGTGACACGCGTGAGTCCCACGTGGGAGATGACATGGTACTTTGTGCTGCATGGGGCATGTGTGGTTGCGGAGTTTGGAGTGAAAAGGGCGTTTTCCGACAAGCCTCGGCTGCATTGGGCAGTGTCGGCGCCATTGACGATCGGGTTCGTGGTGGCTAGCGCCATGTGGTTGTTTTTCCCACCGCTGTTGAGGACTGGTGCGGTGGAGAGAGCCATTGGAGAGTGCAAGGTCTTATTGGATTTTTTGCTAAGTTTTTTATTCAAAGTGAAAACGATTAATTAATTGTAATTAGACTGCTTTAAACACCTTTTTCTAAATAATATATGAAAGGATTTTGATATTCTTAGTCAAATATAAATTAATTTGTAAAAAAACAAAAACCGATGTTATTTAGTCACTTGTTATGCAATCAAGAACAGATTAAAATTTTTTTTGAATAATGTCATATCTAAATTTACTTTGATTTAGAATCTTAAATTTCATTTCTTATGAAATTATAAAAAAAAATTAATGGGTTAATTAGCATGATTAACTACATAAAACTTTAACATAAATAATATAATTAGTAGAAATTTTTTACACTTTAGTGATGTCATTTGACACCACTTATGTCAAAGTGAGTTCATCTCTAGTAGATTCAAGATTTTATATTAAAATAATTAAAAAAATAATCATACAAAATCATGAATATATGTATCTTTAACTTTTATAATATATTAATTAAAAAAATTAAAAATTAAAAAACTTGAAGAGTGGTGGCCATAGCCAACCATTATCACCTTGGCTACTATTATCACGTGACATTTTTTGATATTTTCATCATTTATATTAATATTTTGTAAATATAAAATAATAAATATTATTTTAATTTAATTATAATTATTAATTATTAATTATAAAAAATTATTTAATTTAAAATAAAATTTTAAAAAATTTAATTGAACACATTAAAAAAATAAAAATTTAAATTTTCTCGATAATTCAAAAAAAAATTTCAAGCATTAAACTTATTTTTAATCAAATTAGACAAAATCGAAAATTCACTTATAGAGAGAAAAAAAAAAAAAGCGGCAGAGAGCACATGATCTCTGGCAGGAAGTGAGCTCCTTTTGTGGCTTCAATTGAAGCTTGGAGTAGCTTTCATGCTAAATTTCTATGGCACCTCTCTTTTAGACAATTATGCGGCGTATAATTGGTTTTTATTTATTTTATTATTTCTTTTTTTGTAAGGATTAATCGATTTAAATTGAATATTCTATCAAAATTTATTAAATAATAAAAATTTATATATAAGTTTTTCACTTTTTCTAAATTAAAAGAAAAGAAAAGAAAAGAAAGGATAAAACCCCAATTTTGTTCTCTTAAAAAAACCCCCGATTTATAACATAAATTTAAACTCGTATGTTGGTTCTTATACTTTACCTTTATTATTTAAATTTAAACAAAGGAATATATGCGCCGATGGGTGTTTATCTCGATATTTAAATTTTGTTCAATTTCATAACCATCGATATTAGTATCAAATTGTTTTATAATCTTTTCTTGATATCAATCAAATACGAAACTTGTCTGAGATATGTACAAATATTTGATCTTGACGTAAAGATAGGAAAAACCAATTCACTTATGATATTTTTGTTGTTGATTAAAATTTAAAAGTGCATGTTTTATAAAAAAAATCGATTTATAATGTGAATATATATTCGTAAGTTGAATATTAAATTTTTGTAAACATAAACTTGTAGGTTAAATTTTAAATTTTATCTTAATTATTCGAATTTAAACAATACAAATCAACTAGAATTTGTCTCGATAATTAAAATTTGTTCAATTTCATAATTCGTTAATGTTAATTTCGAATACAAAACTTTTTTTTGTTGATAGAAAAATAAAAGTGGATAAGATAATAACAAAAAATTTAAAAAAAAGGGACAAAAATACAATGGGCTATAGGGCCAAAATGTCTTACATGGCCTAAAACCCAAAAGCCCAGGCTCAAAAAGATTGCCCTTCTCTCACCCCCAGGAACTACTACGAGGCCTGAAAGGGCACCAATCAGATGTTAACTTTATCATTTCAACACACAACACAGAATCAGGGAAAGGGCCAGGAAAAAGAGAAAAAAATACCCAGAAACCGAAGAAAGAAAGGACAACGAGAAAAATAAGAGGAAGAAAAAAAAAAGAAAATAATTAAGAAAACAAAGAAGAGGTTACTCGATCTACTCTCTATCAAAGCTTTGATCTTCTGTTTTAAAGGTAACCCATTTTTTTTTCCCATTTATTTGAGCTCTTTTTTCCCATAATTGTTTCCTGTTTAGGGTTTTTTTTATTTTTTTTATCAAGTTTCTGTTTGTCCCAAAGGGCTTAAATAATTTGAAATTTGATAGGTTTTAATGGATTGGGTTATCTTCAGCTTACTGTTTGAGGCTGTTGGTTTATTATTATTATTATTATTTTTTGAAGCAAAAGAGCCTTTGTTTTATGTGGGGGAAATGAAGCAAGGAGTTTAGTTTTATTGGCTTTCCTGTGAAGAAGCTTCAATTGGGTACTTTCATTGGTTAGGTTTATGCAAGTTTTTGGCATTGTAAGTTAGGTAGAAGGTTATTGGTTTGATCTTATTTGTGACTCTTTGCATGTGTAGTCATTTGGGTTTATTGGAAAATGCCTTTTTTTCTTTTGTGAATTTTTTATGATTGGGCTAGTTATTAGGTTGGTTTTTGAGTTTTGGGTGTTTGGCATAATGGGTTTTTTTCATGTAAGGGAATTTGTTTGGAATTCTTGGTTGTTTTTTGTTGTTTCTTCTTTGAGCTTAATTACTCTAAGGGTTTTATGGATATTTATATATGGATATGCATGGATAGGCGTTTAGGTTATAAAGGAAAATTTGTGGGGTTTCAATGATTCTGCTAGTTATTGGGTTGATTTTTGAATTTTGGATATGTGGCATAATAGGTATTGTTATCTGGTGGGATTTGTTTGGGCTTCTTGATTTGGTATGCTGGATTTCTAATTGAGCTTGTATTTGGATTTATAATCTGTTGGGTTTAATTAGTTGCCGACTTATAAGGGTTTTAGATGGAAAGTATGCTTTGTTCCCAAGAGTAATTGGAATTCTGTTTTAATCAGATATTTGATTTGATATACATGCCAACACAGTTCGTGGTTGGATAATGGCTGTTGAGGCTCCTGCCAAACATGTTTATGATTTTGATGATGACGATGATGATGGGCCTGTAGTGTTCAAGAGGAATAATACCTCATCCTCTAAGCAGAATCAGTTAAACTTGGAAGTAAAGAAGGCATCGTCTCAAAGGTCTGATGGGCAATCTGGGAGGCAGATCTCTGATGTACGATCTCCCAATGGTCAAAGTTCCAATGCCCCAAAGAATAAGTCAATCTCATCTTCCAAGTCACCTCCAGTGAAATCGCCTACATTGAGCCTAAAAGCATCAACTTCATCTACCAAGGCCACACCAGTGAAGTCACCAGTGGTGAATTTTAAGGCATCAACTTCATTAAATGATCAGTCAAAACAAGCATTGAAGCAGAATATGACTACTGCTGTCAAGGAAGAGAGAAGTCCAATTAAAGGTACCACTGAACCAAACAGTGATGATGATGATGATGATTCATTACCTCTGAGTGCCAGGCTTAAGGGGATCTCAAACCAGGGAAACAAAGGGGCTAGCACTTCTGCTCCTGCCCAATCACAGCGATTGGTACCAAAGACTGGGGTGAAAGTGTCTGTCGAAGATCCTGATGATGAAGCTCCTTTGTCAGCGAGGTTCAACATGAAGTCCGATACTGGGACATCAAGTAGTAGGCTCCATGACTCTGATGAGAAGAAACCTCTGGCTTCTAAAATTCAGCAGAATGGTTCCATCATGAAGGGTAAGCAGCAAAATTCTTCTACGTTGTCGGGTAAAAGACCCCTTGATAAGGGCAATTCCTTAGATCAGTCTTCTGCTAAAAAGCCAAAGACTTCAGATGCACCTACAACAATGAAAACCAAGCAAGTAACAGTGAAAGCAGAAAAGACTGATGAAGATGATGATCATATGCCAATTGCCCAGCGAATGAAAAAGTCAACTGCATCGAACAGTAAACTGTCGTCTATGAAGCAAAAAACGACCAAGGTTGTATCTTCTTCATTTAAAAAGATAAATAAAAAGTCGAAGAAAGAGATGAAAAGCTCTAAATATATTAAGTCAACAAAGGTGCCACCTAGCTCCGGTGATGGGCAGAAAAAGTGGAGTACCTTGGTTCACAATGGTGTCATTTTTCCATCTCCATATACGCCTCATGGGGTTAAGATGCTGTATGATGGCCGGCTAGTTGATTTGACTCCTGAACAAGAGGAGGTCTCTCTCTCTCTCCCTCTATATATATATATATATATATTCATATATATAACATTTAAAGATTTTTGTATATGTATTTTATTGTATTTTATGAAAACTTCTGTTGTTATTGCAATTGTTTCGGAAAGTTCAAAGTTCTCATTTGACTTGCTGCAAGATGTCTTAACCTGATCTGTTAGTCTGCAGGTTGCAACAATGTTTGCAGTGATGAAAGATACAGATTACATGAGTAAAACACAGTTCAAGAAGAATTTCTGGGAGGATTGGAGTAAGTTACTGGGGAAAAACCATACAATTAAGGGCTTGGACAGATGTGATTTCACTCCAATATATGAATGGCATTTGCAGGAGAAAGAGAAGAAGAAACAGATGAGTTCTGACGTAAGTTAGTTGAAAATAATTTTGGCTATGATGTATGCAATCACTTCTGGTAGTATATCTGTCTTAGAACCTACATATCTCTATTCTCATCATGTTCCTTCAAAGCAATTTCTGGATAATATCATTAAGTTTAATACTCATTACGCATGATTGCTGTATGTATAGGAGAAGAAGGCTTTGAAAGAAGAGAAGTTGAAGCAGGAGGAAAAGTTTATGTGGGCGATTGTTGATGGCGTCAAAGAAAAGGTGAAGATTTAGCCTCAATATAGAATTTGATTTATCCCTTTTAAAACTTATTTCACAGCTTTCGGATTTTATTTAATTTGTTACTGCATATCTACATTCCTACCCTGGTTTTCGAGAGAGTAATATTGATGTATAAGTTTTTTTTCACTTCTTCCACCAATCTCCACTGGGTCTTTTAAATTGAACTGCTTTCTTTTTATTTATTTATATTTCTCTGCTTCTTGTGTAAGTTGCTGCTAATTCAGATGATTGTTTTAATTGCAGGTAGGAAATTTCAGAGTTGAACCACCTGGGCTTTTCCGAGGTCG